AGACTGAAGGAAAGTTGAATCGGACTCGTAATCTTATTTGAGGCCTTCGTATGAAATGCGGGGGTCAAGAGCTAGCGAAGGGATAGTAAAGAGTAAAACCCAGCTCACGAGCAGCCCATAGATAATACGGTGACGCGTCGAAGCGGCTGAAGTACTCACTCAGCTTCAGATGAGCATGGACAAGCCCGTCTCGCAACTTCCTCTGAGCCGCGCCATGGGTGGAATTGATCGGCACAGGAAGATTACAGATACTTGACTTGACGGCCGATTGAAGGGTAAGAAAGATGGCGTGAGTCTGAGAGAGGAGCATCGGCTTCTTAGTCGTTGACATCTTCGCCGTGGCTCCTTTGAATAGACCAAGCCATTCCCAGACCAGCTTAATGGCATCCCGGTCCTCGTCAGACATGACAGCCGTAATGCGAAGGTCTTTTTCTGAGGCAACGTACGCGTCCACAACGACTCGATATCCTAGTGCTCGCCATCCTCAAATGGCTCCCCCCGCGCCTCACCGCCCCGCCCACACACGACCCATGCGAATGCGTCGGCGGGTTGCTGCCGCTGGTGGGATTATTGCTGGAGGCGGCGACGAATAGGGCGGCGGCAGCGATGCGAGCGAGGACAGGTCGCGGATGGGCTCGAACCCCGCGCGGTACGTGCACCCCACCTGCGCGTGGAAATGCGCGCGGAAGCGCGGGCCACGCCCCCTCGTCTGGCTCGCCGTCGTTTGCGCTGGTCGAGTGGGAGTGGCACTTGGAAGTGGAATGGAGTGCGCGTGCTATGCCTGGGCGATACGCCTGTCGCTCTCGGGGTCCCAGCTTGGCAAAAATACGCCCAGCAGCCAGATCTCCTGCGCGCTGCGGTCGCGCGTCCCCGTCGAGCAAATATCGACAGCTTTATCCAGCAGCCCTTGCCCGTTCCCCCCCCGCCCTCGCTCTTTCTTGAGGTAGACGTCGCGAGCGCCGCAGCGGTGCCAGTACTGTGGCTCAGCGCACCCGACAGCGTTGCCGTCAGCGACCAGTCGCTCGTGCTGCCAGATAGATGCGCGAACCACGCGCTGAGGCGCGCCACCACCTCCCCGCCCCTCAGCCGGCTCAGCGTTTTCCCGTGCCCATAGTCGCTGCTGTACGCCGAGGATGATAGTGGAGGCGTAGATTAGGAGAATGAAAAACACCGCTCGAAGCGCGTTCGTGGGCACGCAGTACCCGCTGTACGCGCTGGGCTGGGCGGACTACCAGACGGGAAATCGTCGTATTCGAAATGGTCGATGTTCTGGCCAGCTTCGTGAAGGGCGAGCAGCTCGGCCTGGGATGCACATATGAACGGGGAATTGGAAGAATAGCGGGTGCAGCTTACATACGCACAGTGGCGAGGCAGAGTATCCCCGCGTCTTGCAGCGAGGATGTGCAGTGAGGAGCGGGGCGGCCGAGGAGCACGCCAGGGCCGGCGCTGGACGTCTTGCAGCGAGGATGTGCGGTGAGGGGCGGGGCGGCCGAGGAGCATGCCAGGGCCGTGGCGCGTCGTCCAGCGCCGGCGCGAAGAGGGCGGCGCCGACGATATAGACTGGGAGAAACGAGGGCAGGAAGGTAAGAGAAAATCGGATCGAGAGAGCAGTGTACTTGCTTCACGACGGGCTGATGCAGCGCGAGCTCGCCGTCTCCGAAGTGGTGTCGTCCTGCCGGTGGAAATCGTCGGCGTAGTCGTCGTATTGGTGACTTATTGGACAGATGTACACCTTCGTCGGCGCGTGTAGGTACATGCCCGCTGGTGTCGGGGTAGTGCGGCGTGCGGCGGCGTGTAACGCAACGGCGGTGGCTGAGGAGGAGGTCGATGGCGGGCAAGGTGGAGGAGGGCGCGTGGTGGTGCGTCGAAGACGTGCGATAGCGGTGCGGGCTCGAGCGCGGAGACGCCGCGCCGTTGGGCGGCGTAGGGGCTTATGCCAATGGTGACATGCGGGACGAGAGCATACTTGATGCACAATGGTATGCGCTCGTCTTCGATATCGGGAGTCGGGAGGGGTGTTGCGCTTCGACCGACCCGAGGCGAACGCGCCCGCCGCCGGTGATTCGCGGGCGGGGAAGAGCTGCAAGATCAGCGGCGGCGAGGGATTGAGGACGTAGGTAGGTAATAATAATGATCGGAAATGTGCAGGTTAGGAGGGGAGAAAGGCAAGCCAAGATGAAGTGAAAGGGAAGGGCAGTTAGGGAGGAGGACGACGTTACGAGCGCCAATGACGAACGAAGTGAAGGAAATGGAAACAGAAGGGGGGGAACGGAAGCACTCACCTAAATGATTTTGACGCGCGTACGCTCTCCTTCGAGATCGCAGAACGAGCAGCACGATGCCACCGCCCACACCACCTCTGTTGGCGCTCGGAACCATCTCCATTCCCAGTTGTGCAAGCCGTTCAAATTTAAGAAGTCTGGTCACAAGATCTGAAGAAATTGGAGTTGTGCGTAGGGGAAAGAAGGGTTCACGCACCCGTACACAAGAATACGCCCGATAATCTCCACCCACGCAATCAACTAAAGCGCAAGCAGCGCAAGACCGCTGTTAAAGTCGTCCCCACCCGCGCGCTCGACTCCAGCGCAGGCAGAGCCACCTCGCCGCCAAAGTCAACCCCGCCCGCCTCAACTCCAGCGCAAGCGGGTGCCCATCGCTTAGGTTAGTGCGGGATGTGCGGCGTCTGCAGGCAAACAGGGTCCGGCGTCCGTAAGCGCTGCCAGTGACGGGGGCCTCAACGGGGCGAAAGCGTCTTGGAAGAACGGCGGGGCGCACGCGAAGGAAGCAAGAGTGATGTGCTATGTATTAGGACTATCCACGCGCGAATGGATGGCGCCTAGCTCGTCACATCGTCCTTGGTTGCAGTTGGTCGCGGTCAAGACGAATGAGGCAAGTCGGGTGACGTGTACATCAGTCACTGATGCGCTTCTCTCTCCCAACCAACTCCCAACTCAATCTCCTGCTAATTTATGTCGCCTCAAACCCCAGAATCTCGTATTCCATAGTAACTGCATAGGCCACAGGTTCTCCCCGGACCCTCCGACGCGCCACTGTTCTCGGCCTCGCTGCGCGCAAAAAGTCTTTCCGCGCTTCTCATCCTTCACCCGACTCCTTCCCGCCTCTGTCTCATAGCCCCGGCCAAAACCGCTGCTAGTATGGTTCAAACGCGGAATGGTCCGCACCTGCGCTCCATGGCTGGTGACCGAGGAGCTACCGCAGGACCCGCCCGTTCGACTCGGGCTTGAACCATTCGAATTTCGGCAGTTTCCTTTTTTCTCTCTCGGAGCCGAGCGAACCATATCTCATCTCAGGACTCCGGCTTCGAAGCTGCTACTACTACTAGGATGCTCCAGCAGGAGGCCTTATTTATTTGCTCTTCGTCTGACTTGCAGGCGTCTTTTTCTAGCCGCGACGGACCTGCACCATTCTCTTGCCTATCCAGCTTACTCTCAAATCCAACTACGCAAGTGTCTCAAGTTATCATCTCCGTATTTTTCATGCTGCATGCTACATTGCGGGTCCTCAAAAGGCTGCGAACTCCTGTCTGCGTCAACCATCACCTCGAATCTTTCTTGTAAATCCAACAAGCTACAGGTCCTTATAACGGTTCAAACGCGGAACGGTCCGCGCCTGTAGTCCATAATTGATTAGGCCCTCCCAGCAGGACCCGCCCGTTCGACCCGGGCTTGAACCATGCTTGTGGGCGATCTTCGCGTTTTTCTCTCGGAGCCCAGTAAATCCTGATTTGCATATCTCAGACACCCTGCTTTGCCGGTACTAGGACGGTCCAAAAGCCGACTCGCCGCTTATTTATCTGCTCTTCGTCTGACTGGCAGGAGCCGTCGCTTGAGCTAGTTCTCTTCTTTTTTCTGGCCGCAACGATCCTCCACCGTGTCTGTGGTAAATTCTGCCTACTCGGAATCAAATACAACTACGCAAGTCTCAAGCTGCTAACTCTTGATTTCGCATGCTGCATTCTGCGTCAATATTCTGCATCTGCCGGCATTTCCAGGGCAGATTCTCAAATGTTATTTTCTCCGCGTCAAACACCTGATCTCTCTTGTAAATTCACCAACTTCAAGGTGCTTAGAACCCTTCAATTTCTACGCATATCAGTGTCCCGAAATCGCCATAAACAGGAACCGCCCATTCGACTCGGGCCTGAGCCATTCAGCAGTGTTTGCCAGTTATCTTTTTTCTCTCGGAGGCGAGAACCATATCCCATCTCGGGACCCCGGCTTCGATGCTGCTACTAGCATGGTTCAAAAGTTGACCGTATGTATCTGTCTCCGTCGAGTCCACTTTCACTCAAACCTTCCTTGCAAGCAGATCGTAACCCAATCCGACCCGTCACTCTCTGGTTCCGCGTTCTCTTGCGTTCCAATGCTTTTGTCCTTTCGTTCCGGCTCGAATACCTCAGCCCCATGACTCCATGTACGTTTCAAATCGGGGTGCCATTTTCATCCATCCCTGCGGCTAGAACGGTTCAAACGCAGATCGGCCGTGGCGGTAAATCAAGGAGTCGTCCATCTGCTCCGGGCTTGAACCATCACCCTACTTTCCAGCTCGGTTCTGTGTCTCTCCGGGCTCGCCTCTCCAAAATTCTGTCCACTTGGAATTTAGGCCGTCTGCGCAAATTTCGGTCTGCGTCCGGCAAACCCCCGATCTCTTCTATACATTCAGCAAATATGAGGTCCTCGGAACGGTTCAACCGCGGACTGACCGCACCTGCGCTACAAATCTGATTAGGAAATCTCCCAGCAGGAGCCGCCCGTTCGACTCGGGCTTGAGCCATCAGGAGTGGTAACTCTCTGTTTTTTTTCCCTCCGTGGCGCACGAATATCCACCTCTCTCTGCACTACCTGCCATTGAACTCATAACCCATTGTCCGACGCATTGTTCGTGATTTTTCATTCTATGGTTTCTGTGGCTCCTTGGACGTGCTTTACTTTGCGAACATCTTGCTCCGATAGATGAAGTGTCCACCTTGCTATTAGAACGGTTCAAAAGCGGAATGGTCCGCGTCTGCGCATATTTATCGCATCTTACCACTCCTAATTAGCAGGAGTTGCCCGTTCGACTCGGGCTTGAACCATTTGGCCTCCGTGTTGCTTTTTTACCGGCCGCACCTAATCCCCACCGCACTCTCGCAGAGCTAACGTTGCCCGCGGACATCTCAGGTTGTTATCCAACATGTCACTCTGTGCTTCTAGTCTGGATTCTGGATCACACTCACTGCGTTGAGGCCCCCGGTAGTCACAGGTCTGCCTATGTTCTGCTACCTGTGACTACATGAGACTACATGTGTCTACATCTGTCGATCCCTGTAGACACACCTTGGGTACAATGGATCGACGAACCCTGCGACTACGTTCTGCTACATTAGACTACACTAGCCCAAGAAGCATCTGCAGATTGAAGCGAATCCTTGGCCCGACGACAGGGAAATGCGGGAGATTGGGTCTTGCCAAGTAGACCAAACCGACCAGAAAGATTCCGAAGATTTTGAGGCCAGGGGCTTGAAGAATGGCAGCCCAGGAAGACGGAGACATTGACGGATTGCGGGATCGAAAATATTGTGGTTTCTCTGAGAGCGTTGGCAAGCGAGCCGGAGGGAATAAAGAGGCAGGCTGCGCAAATTGGGGACTGAGCTTTATAGCTGAAAGAAAGGCTGTGCCGCAGCATGATCAAATTGCAGTTCTGCGGCGTTGTGAGAAACGGGACCATGTTTCAGGAAGTGGGGAGCTGCGCAACAAAAGCTATGAGGCTGCGCACATCCCTTCCGGTCCTCAATCGTCTGAAACGGGTTGAAATTACTGGAAATAAACGCACTATCGCTTGCGGCGCAGGACAACATATGACTTCTAGGACCGTCTTCTGACCACCGCAGTGTTGCACGCAGTTGAGGTTGACATTAATGACTGCTGCGACAATTTGCGCAGGCCGTAGTGAGAAAAGTGTTCTTGAAGAGTGTCGCCGAGGCCCGGTGTCGATGCAAAAGGGGATGTCGATTAGGGCAGGGACATCGATGGAGCTAGAGCTGGATGGGGTAAGTCGTACAGCCGAACGAGCATCTCGTTAAAGAACGGTTAATGACGTAAACACATTACGTCCACGTTCGGCTACGCTCGGCTACATTCGGCTATATTCGGCTACTTTCGGCTACGTCCGGTAGACACATGGTGCCCAAACATCAGGAAAAACTGAAGTTGCCATATAGATGCACATAGACACATATAGAGCTCATAGCCGATATAGCAAACAGACCAATTATATAGAAAGGTGGGAGGGGGGTGTTCAAATATATAGACACTCATAACGGTCATAGTTCCGAAAGCCACAGTGTTAATTGCCATAGCCATAGTACTTATAGTGGTTCATAGACGTCCATAGATCACACAAAAATGGGACTGTAGCGGACATTTATATAAAAAAATATTAATTATAAGGACCGGGTCTGATTAGATTCTTACGTAAGTAAAGGTTTTTGATAAGATCGGTCTTATAGGATAATGACTGATTAGATGGCTGGTTGTGGCATTGGAGGTAAGGTCTAAGCAAATAAATGATTTTACAGGGGATAGAACCCACGACCTTGTCATAACTACAAATTTCAAACTAAAGTAACATAACCTCTACACTATGGAGTCCTTTCCAAATTTGCTTGTGGGCTCCATACGCCCTGGCCGTGTGGGCAGGTGGAGTGGTTCTCCTCGTTCAGGCCCTCTCACGAACCTAACCACAACATGTTTGCCATCTCCAAACCTCCGCCTCGAGCGGATGGCAATTTGAGAGGGTCTGTTATCTATTTGTCTGACATTCCTCAGATATGTCAGCTGTTTCCCAACTTTGGGTGGGCAGATATGAATCTGCAATGGACCTCTGATAATGTTTTAGGTGAGTGTAGCAGTTTCCTCCTTAATAACTGGGCAAATCTCTACTCATACCAGTTGATGTGGTAGAATTTCTTTACATGAATTCACTCTAAATTTAATAATTTCACGATGTAGATGCTTATAGTCATTCAAAGACAGGCCAAAATTTTATAGATAATGATAGCATCACATCGACACATATAGCAATTTAATACTTCCTCATAGACACATATAGCAATTCAATACTTCCTCATAGACCGCCATAGTTGGTCAAAGACATATATAGCTCCAAATAGCTGGTCTTGTGTCTATCATAGCATTTCGGATTTTCCTGATGAAGGCGCCTACCTCCCCATCTTGTCGCTGATGTCTGGATTCGTGAGCACCCCCCGAAGGACCATTCCGCTGGTGCTTCACATCCTATACCTATGTTTGTGGCTGGCTCTACACGCCGCACCACGTTGCAACTCTAAATTACGCGGCTGGAGGTAATTTAAGCGGCATCATGAATAACCTTTTATCAGCCCTGCAAATCATTCAAGCCACGCAAGGTGGCTATGGGCACCGCCTCGCTCTTCAGGCCTCCCACTCCGTTCATCGTGCGCTCCCGCCCAATCCATACTCGTAGTACAAAAATTGCGTCAAGAGCTCGAATTGGTGATTGTTTGATCCGGCTGATGCGGAGAGGGCCTTGCCGAACGTGATGAATCAGAAGTGATCCGGCGTCGCATCCGAGTCGTACGACATCGTACGCACTTGGCATGTACTCACTGGCTGGGTGGATTTTGGATTCGCGGCGGATTACGGCCAAGTTGTGGCTAGTATATACATGTCTACATATATACAGTATATCTTGGTCTATGTATGTGTACCTTGGTCTATGTGAGACTACATGTGGCTACCCAAGGTAGACACAGGTTGCAAGTGTAGACATGGGTAGACACATGTAGGCCAAGTGTGTCTACACAGTGTAGTCATATGTAGACAAACATCTGTGGCTACCCCTCTGTCTACACTGGTAGACACACCCTGTGACTACAGGGGGCCTCAACACAGTGACTGGATTGACTTGTGGCGGACGAGCCCAATTACTCTGACAAGTCCCAAGCCCCGCAATCACCTTGAAACTAGGAAGGCTCAAAGGCCGAACTCTAGGACCTTTATGATCCATGACGGCCTCTTCACTCGTGCCCGTGCACGGCATACAGTTAGATTCCACATAACCCATAGTCCCCATAACCTATAATCCCCTAAAAACCATGGCTTTTGGTGGAGCCAACCCTTCATTTTCGGTTTTAATTTCTGCTTAAAACCCATAATTCCTTCTAACCCATAGCGCGGAGGCCAAACCGACAGCTATGGGTTATGTGGAATCCGACTGTACATCCTTCCCCTTCTTCACACCCACCCCGTCCCCGCCATCTGGATACCGTTCCGTGTTTCCAAGCGCTCGTCCTGCAAGGGTATCTGCCCGCCCAGGCCGTTCACAGCGCTTCCGAGACGCACGAGGTGTATCTCTCCTCCCATATTCTCTCGTGTCTCCTTTCGTTCTCTTGTCCTGCACTCTTGGGGTGTCCTGTCGCACGGAGTTGGAATCGGAGTCGGAGTCGGAGCGGTGTCGTGTCTTCCTCTTTTTGGGTGTTCCTCAGTGCCGCTCTTTCCTCTCTTCTTATTTTACATCGCGCGCTCGCTGAAGGGGTCCTGCAGCGCGGAATCGGAGTCGCAGTGGCGTCGGCTTCACCTGTACGGTAGGCTGGGTGGAATGGGTATGCCTTTGCCAACCTTTTGCTCGGGATATCTGTAATATGTTCTCGCCCGCATATACTTGACGGTCCGCGGGCCTCGACGGCCCCTCGCTCCCTGTGTCACAGTCAAGGCTTGCGTCCAACTCTACAAGAGAGTGGATTGGGAGGTGCAAGTGATCTCGAAAAGATGATCGAATAAAAGACTAAAGAACTACAAGTGAATAGCTACTCTACTTATACTGTTTGTCGAACCGTGTGAACTTAAGTAGCTAAGTATATAATACAATGAGGTTACCAGGCAAATCGTGATCGGAGACGTCAAGTGTCAAGTGTCAATACTAAATATAGTTCATGGAAACGACTATTGTGTTCCGTTGCCGTGTGATCATTAGCCAGCAAAGTCCTCCCACGTTATGCCATCGGCGTGAAGCGCTCGTGCAACAAGCGCTGGGGTCACGTGCTCATCGATCGGTGTTGGAGCGATTAGATTGGGGTCAAATCGTGACATTACCCCCCCTCTAGACTCAACGTCCTCGTTGATTTCGATGAAGATTTGGGTTTCGGGAATAAATAGTTTTTTCGTCAAGTATTGTTGCGACTCCTCGCGGTGTTTGTATCTTTTGATTAAATAGTCCCAATGTCCCGCCGGCAGGACTGGGACTGCGCGAATATCGATCCCGTGATCCTTGTTGTATTTATCAAGGATCTTCTTGGCATTCGTCAAGTGACGCCGTGGTTCCCACGTCCTCTCCCCAAGAGGGTAATTTTTCCACTTTATTAAATACTGGAAGCCCTTCCCACGCTTGCGGTGCTTCAAAATCTCCTCCACCTCGTACTCCTCGTGACCCTGCACGATCTGCGGTGCCGGCCGCTCCTCTCTCCGATGTGTCGGTGGCTCGACATAAGGCGTCAGCAGTGCCTCATTGAAATCCGGATGTGACTTGTCCGTTTCAGGCAATCTGAGCCGATATGCCGAGGCTCCGACTTTTCCTAGAATCTCGTAAGGCCCCAGCCTTCTATCGTCGAGCTTCTTAGTCGGACGATCCGTGGTGATGTCTTTGGCCTCCAGCCACACCTTATCGCCGATTTTAAAATCAGGCGCCTGGCGCCTATGAATATTATAATATTTTTTCATTGTTTTCTGGGTTTTTTCTAGCGCAGCCGCTGCCTCGTCGCGGATCTTTTTCATTTTCTCGGCAAAGTCGTTTGCGGCCTCATTGCGCGACTCAACTGCGTTTTCTATTCCCTTCCAGGGGTGGTATCCGGTGTTCACGAAGAACGGCGACATGCTCGTCGACGAGCTTTGTTTGTCGTTGTGAGTGAACTCAGCCAAAGCGAGCCACTCCGCCCAGTCCGACTGGCGATAATTTACGAACACGCGGAGATATTTTTCGATCTCCTGGTTCATGCGTTCCGTCTGTCCATCAGTGATCGGGTGGAAGGCGGTGCTCGGGTTCATTTCTATCCCGAGTAGC